CGCATATTTATTAAAACAGTTTCGGCCTTTTCAGTATCAGTCTACAGATTTGAGATGAGGTATTAGAAATTCATTATTTAGAGATTCGGACATTGTCCTCATCTTTGTCGATATTTATTAAAACGTTTCAGAGAGACAGTATCTGTCTATATTTCTGAGATGACGTATTATGCACATTATTTACATTATTCACTATTGTCCCATCTTTCCTCTTCATATTCTCTTATAAATATCTCAACAGCCACGTCTTTTTGTTCTGTTTTTCAATAAACGTAACATCGTTTCGCTCAAAATTTTTTGACATTAAATGTTTATTATACCAGAAATTCTTACACCACGTTTACAACACATGGCGCAGACGTAAAACAATTGGTTCGTTGTAGGACAAATCAATCTTGAAATTCAATACCAGCTTTAGGCATGGTGAAATCTGCAGAGGGGAATCAACCCGGAGATTATAATTTCATTCCGTTTTCTCTGTTCAGTCCACCTCAAAATCTTTACAAAAATCCAGATGTAAAGATGATTTTAAGAACAACTTCAATATTTGCACTGAGACATGCTAGAGTTAAAGGCATTAATCAGAGTTCTTTATTAAAAAATTTCTCGTAAATAAGCTCTTTAAATAATAAATACTTTTGTAGCGGACCGTGGATTTATATAACGTATAAGAATGGTAGAGTAAAGACCTCGTAGATTATAAACGATGAATTAAAAAAATTTTATGTTGATGCAAAAGCTCATCAGCTTTCTGAAATAGGAAAAGATATGTGTTTTAAAAAAAAAATTATACGATACCTCATAAAATGCATAATATATTTTTCTTTTTAACAAGATTTACAATGGACAAAGATTAACGTTTGAGAATTGAGTAGACAACGTTGGCTTTTTATTTTGATGAATGTCCCGAGAAATAATTGAGATAACATTTTTTCTTGTAAGTGGGCAAAATACAAATATCAGACACATAATACATACATTAAATTTATTTATATATAAATATAAATATAATATATAACCAGGAAAGATGAGAACGGATTTATGGTGTTTAACGTTTCGTGAACATTTTAATTAAAAGAAATCAATAGAATGTAAGTCAATATTCTTTATTTTAGGATAAAATTGTATTTGTTTTTTTGTTTTGATAAATTGAAAGATCTCGCCTATATATATATATATATATATATAAGATATATATAAATAGATAGTCTTAACATTTTTCCTAACCTTTATGTGTTCATTTTCCCCTATCAGAACATATTTTAAATAAATTTGGTTAACATTCAATAACAGTCGAGCATTGTTTTTGATTATTTAATTGATAATATTAAACGGGTCATGTAATATATATATATGTTGTTATATATATACATTATTATTTTTATATATATATAAAAAAAAAAATAATAATATATATATATATATATATATATATATAGTATTTAAATATATTTTATAAAAATATAGATAAGGAAATCTTTCAGATGCAACAAAAAGTCGGTCGGGTTTCAGACATCCTACCAAAAATCGGATGTTCAATCTACGCAATAAGAGGCAAGATAAACGTATGAAACAGTCTCCGTGGATGATTATATATATATGAAATAATAAAAAGGAATATATATTTTATACATTTACACAAACAATTGTATATATAAAAATATTCCTTTTTGTATATAAATAAATTGTTTTGTTTATCATACAATTTAAAATTTCCTGTTATTTTTGATGTTTTATTTCCTGTCAAATATTTTTTTTATCTCCATGAACACGAGGCTTTTCTGCTGCTGTGTCCGCTTCAACCCCACGGTCACACATTCTGAATACTATCTCATTTACCATCGTCTATTATAACTGTTTGAATTTTTCCAAACATCACCAGCTATGTTTGTGTGTATATGACGATTACCTCATAACCTAGGCATTGGTCTGTCCTTTTTTTTTAAATTTGGTTTCTTTCCCGTTTTTGTAAAGGTTTTAATTTCTCTTGTTTTCTAATGGTCACCTGGCAAACATTCTGCTTAGATTTAATTGAATGATTTGTTTTTTACGGCTTTACAGGTTATTTAATGCCAGAAGATATTTTTTATATTCTAAGATTTTTTTGGTGTGTGTAGATTTGGTTTTATGGTTTGTTTTATGGCATATCAACATCAATGGGTTATTTAATGCCGACAAAATTTTTATTGCTGGTAATATTTTGTTTTGTCAAAAATCTATTTCTGGTAATAATTTTTTAAAGTATTTCTGGTATTAAAACATCTTTTTACACTTTCAATGGAATGCTTTTTTTGGATGGAATATTAGTTTCAAGGTTTATTATTTTACCCATAGCTAGGACCCTAGCATGAGTTTTACCCGATTCTTGGTGTTTTTGGGAAAATCAGCAATTAAGAGGTGGTTCCACGCTCCTCAAAACCTCCTGATCAGGGGCCTTGCTGTTGGATGTAGTTTATCGTCATACCTAAGTCGGTTTGTGTGTGGGGGAGACAATGGTTTAAGTGATACATGTCCTATTAATTAAGCCATATCTGAGAGAAGAAGCTGAGGCAAACTGAATGTTACAAATTTTAAAAAATGCTGATTACTCAAAATACCAGAAAAGAATGCTAAAATACTATACAACATTAACTAATCTTCATTGGCGGGAACATTTTTACCCACAGATGTTGAGGAAACTTAAGTAAACAGAGACGTGGTTCGATATTAGTATTTCTGAGAATACCATTAACAACAAGCGAAATTTTAAATTTAGAAGTCACCATGAGGAAAGTGAGTTTCGAGAATATATGATATATATATATATATATAGTGAACATAAGTTTGACAAAAGCTTGTAAGTAAAAACTTAACGAGCTTAAAAATGGATGGTAAGAAAGAACTAAGAAACATTGATTCGAAATACAAAGAAATGGAAGTTGTGTAGAGACATAAGAGCCAAGAGGATAAGACATTTAGGAAAAGGACAAAAAAAAAAAAAAAACATCTAGAAATTGAATTTTTTTCGTTCGTATCGTGTGGATTATCTCAAATTAAACGGATCAGTTTTAGATTTATTCGTTTTCTATGGTTTATCAACCCTTTGCAGGTTACCGTATTTGATTCATTATAAAAGGTGTACTTTTTTTTTTACTAAAAACATCTTTTAAAATTCTCCTGCGTCTTAAATGTTATATGTAGGTTTAAAATTCTGGATAGTCGGCCATTTAAATTAAAAAAAAAAAAATCCTATTAAAATTAACTTTAAAAAAGTTAAAATAACTTTCATATACCTATTGTCATTATTTAAAAAACTATTATGCAGATTAAAAGCGTTATCATTGATAATATTAATTATATTAATTTCACCACGTTTAATATTTGTTTCACTAAAATTATATGTAATAAATTCAAATTATATATTTGTAAAATATATTTTTCATTAATATTTTTCTTGCGATAACTTCCGGTTGCATTGATATAAATACAATCAGAATTTTTATATCCTAATTATTCCAATAAGACGTTTACAAGACGTCGGTTGTAAAGATCATATAAAAGGATATAATAAAGTTATTATAGGCTCGTGTTCTTTTTTTCATATTTTTCATTTAATTGTAATGAGACAAATTTTTAGATTGAAAGATTATTTTTTTTAGATAATGGTTTTCACGATAAAAGTCTTACTAATTAACCCATACTTGAGGGAACAGATTCATACCTTTTCCAAATGTATTTACGCGTAAGTAAATATAAACGACCCAACGGGAACTGGAACTTGGCTCCCCTGTTAACAATTTCGAGGATTTACCCATTAAAACACTCACCCATTCAAACTTACAGCACTTCGTATTCCCAAGCGGTCAGCCATCGCGGAACTGGCCAGATTCAACGTTGCTTACATCAGATTAAACAGAACTTATTTCAAAATCCGTCAAAGGGTCTATGCGTGTGTGCTTGTGTATTCATTAAATGACAATTACTTGTAAGTCACTCACACACAACACAGACGTTCGTCTATAAATTAGATGCACGCAGACAAACGCTGACTGGATGATGGACAGAGAATCTGTTCTTCTATATAATAAATGCTAATGTCAGTGTGTCACACTTCGCAATTTAACTTCTAGAGGCTGTAGCAAAACATCATTTTGGAATCAGGCCTACTCCGTGAGCAAATTAAAAAAAAAAAAATTCCGGGCCGGATCCGAACCGCAAACCTGAAATTTTGGATTCCCAAGTTTTTTTATTACGGTGATTGTTTTCTGTGATTTTTTACAATTTTTTTTTTGTACGATAAGAGTTTTATAACTCGGAAATAAATTTGGGAATAATCGAAATTAATTGTGAAATCCAGCGAAAGTAGCCCATGAAATAAAAATAATTGTTTGTATGGAAAGTAAAGACTTACGTACATGAAATTGTCTTTAAATTAAGTGGCAGCAGAAGAATTATCGTTAAACTTCTAAAAATTAAGCTTAAATATTAATTTAACATTTAAATTCGGCGATTAATTTTATTCATCCGTACGTTATTGTTGCCTATCACATTTACTCGTTCCTACCAGTTATGATGAAGGCCCACTCAAGAGCCATCCGCAGGATATAGTTGAAATGCCGCCCGATAGAAAAAAACCTCCAACATTAATTATAGGTTTCTAACAAAGACCAGTTTGTGACAACCATCCCAAAACATTTACAGTCTCGTGAGCGGCGATATTTTCTATTCTATTGCTTTTAACAGACAGACACAACGTCGAAAACCTGTAGCTACTACATTATTTACATTATTCGGACTATTGTCCTCATCTTTGTCGCCATATTTATTACAACTTTCCGGCCGTTGTACGCTCCGGCCTTCTTCAGGTGGTTGGAATGTCGAACTGAACCCTTTATTTCGCTCACTGGGGTAGACTGTTCTAGTTCCACGTGCCATGTTTAAAGAGTGTGAGTTCAATACCCGGTTAAGGCAGTGGAGAACATGGAGGGGGGAGTTAACAGGAGATAACTGATAACTGACATTCATCGTTGTGTGTCTTCTCGTTCGTGTCGTTGTGTCTCTTCTCGTTCGTGTCGTTGTGTCTCTTCTCGTTCGTGTCGTTGTGTCTCTTCTCGTTCGTGTCGTTGTCGTTCTGTTCGTGTCTTGTGTCTCTCGTTCGTGTCGTTGTGTCTCTTCTCGTTCGTGTCGTTGTGTCTCTTCTCGTTCGTGTCGTTGTGTCTCTTCTCGTTCGTGTCGTTGTGTCTCTTCTCGTTCGTGTCGTTGTGTCTCTTCTCGTTCGTGTCGTTGTGTCTCTTCTCGTTCGTGTCGTTGTGTCTCTTCTCGTTCGTGTCGTTGTGTACCGAAAATTGGTAAAGGCCCGTTACACACCACGCACAATTAAACAAAAAAAAAAAAATAGCAAGAAATGAAGACTGGAACATTGTTCCTATTATATTTTGCTTTTTATTCCAGAGATTCTCTTACACAGTCTATGTGGTTAGGTAGGTGATAGTTAGGGACTGTCAGATTAGTTTTCCACTAGTCAACACTTAACCCTAACCTCGGCCTATAACGGTGCACAGCTGACAATTCTAATGAGTGTCATTGGGACTAACCTGAGGGTGAGTATGTCCCCGTTAACGAAATCCTGCGACTGTAGTTTCTCAAGGTCATGTTTGCTGTCATTTTTTATTGTTAAGACAGAGATAAACATCACACCTCCCCCCTTCTACGTGAGGGTCCTAATCATAATGTTCCAATCAACACTCCCAAGGCTGAAGATATTAAAGCGCCGACCAAAAGAGAGGGTCTTCATTTAAGGAAAGCGAATCCTTGTCTCCTCAAAAACTGATAATTCATTCCCAGTTTCCACCAAGATTATATGGTCACGTTGATGTGATAAAAAGCAACACGGAATACAACAGGGAACACCTTTTTAATTCATAGTATTTTGAATAGACGGCATAGAGTAAAATTGTTAATATTACGGTGGAAGCATTTCACATACATATTTTGTGGTATCTATACGCAGAATATAATTCAAGGGAGACAACTTCTGCGGAGTGTTGCCGTTCAGGGACACTGAACATTTTTTTTTTTTTTTTTTTAATGAATCGATACTTTTCCAAATAGTCACTGCCAATTATATATTCAGTCTTAAATGTACCATATTTGGTTTGGTTTACGGCATATCAACCTCAATGGCTTATGTAATACCGACAATTTTTATTGCTGACACTATTTTTTTTTTCAAAGATTTATTTCTGGTATTCTTTTTGTTTTACAAAGTATTTCTTGTATTAATACCTATTTTTACACTTTCATAGTATTTTGACCCTAGTTTGAGGGTTAACTATTTGCCTATAGCTGGGACCCTAACAGGTGCTACCACCTTGGGTCAGAGTGGGCCTGGGAACACCAGCAATTAAGAGGTGGTTCCACGCTCCTCTAAACCTCCTGATCAGAGGCCTTGCTGCTGGACGTAGTTTATCGTTTTACCTCGGACGTGGATGTAGTTTATCGTCTTACCCAGGCTGCTACCGTATTTGGTGAAATGAAAGAGCTTCAAAAATAAACTTCCGTCCTACACAGTGAATTTCAGGCTTGGGTCAAGTTTGGAAAATGCGAATCGAGACCAGTGAGAACCAGAGCAGCCTCTAAAACATTTATAGCAAACTTTTCATACTAAATTTCGGGTGCGTCCTCTATACCGTAAAAATATTTAAAAATTGATTAAATCAAGAGAAAACTGATACTAAAAAATTCCATTCCATCGCACGTTCGAGGAATTAGTAGCGGAAACAAGAGTTTAGATTTCAAAGTATTAGGCTATCACGTTTTCAAGAAAATTTACAGGAAATAAAGATTAAAAAAAAAAAAAGAACTATGTAATTGTGTTTAACTCATAAATGCCCACCGTAAAATCCTGTGAAAATTACCAATTCGCCACCAGTTGCTTCGTTGACGGAAAGATGATCAAATTTCAAATCTAATATTTTTGCCTATTTAAAATACATTTCTTAGAAAAGAAATTCTGATCAAATAAAGAGTATCATAAAAATGATTTCAAAGCGTCGCACATTTTGACTCATACACTGTTGCCAGATAAAAAAAGGTAATTAGCTCGCGTGACAAAGACGTCCATTTAAGCGTCATTTAAAAAGTGTATTTATGTACTTACATGTATATTTTAATTCAATTGTAAAACTAAAAAAAATAACCTTAAATATTATGGAATCATTTCATAAATGTTCAATAAATATCTATTACCTGAATTAAAATCGTCTCCTACGTTAAAAGACTGGAAGTTGATCAAACACAAATGCGCCTGAGCAAGCGTCTGAAAAAGGGATTGGCTAGCCGCCCTAGTGGATGGGTATCCTCAAATGCGAGTGTCCAGATATATATATATATATGTGTGTGTGTGTGTGTGTGTGTGTGTGTGTTTTAAACAGACTGAATTTTGTCTATAAAACTAAACCTTTGTCGTATGATCCTTAGACATTTTAAAATAGGTTGTCCAAACAGACAAACATTGCAAAGTCCCAAACAAGGAGGGATGGACAGATTCAATTATTACATGATATAGATAAAAAACTACCTAAAAGCATGTAATGCCCACTCTGGCTAAATTCCACTGAAGTTGCTAAATACGAAAGCATAATTTGACGGGAATGAGATACAATACTTTTTGGATGACTCGTTTCAAGCACATCAGTTACTGAAGGTCCATAAGACTAATTTATCTTTCTTCAGGTCACAACGAAGAGACATCAAATATGTTTGGAAAACACGTTTCTGACGTAAGGTAATTGAACTTTGCTACGATGGCAAACCGTGGCTGAATGGTAAAAAAAAAATATTTCTTGGCTAGAGAGTACTTTCCCAAATTAAAGATCGAACTCGAGGTTCGATTCTTGTCGGGAAGCACACTTTCACGAGATCATGGGATCTCTAAATACATTCCATTTCCTCTTCGAAAATATATATCCTCGTAAAAATCTGTATATAAAATAAAACATTTTATATTTACTACAGAAACTTCAGAAAACCGTCAAACTCTCTGGTCACGTTTGTTTGTGTGTATACGCATGCGTCGGAGGTTTATTAGGGGACAGATACTCCACCTTTACCCAAGGATGCTGATACTTTTATCTTAAGTGGAAGAAGCAGCGTAACATGCTTAAATAAAACAGTTATTTTACAAATACTATTCTTTTATGTGCCGTGTCCTTCCAAGGCGTTGGCAAACCTGGCTCTCGACAATTTCTTGTATTTTGTATATTTTAATCATTTTTGTATTTAAACCGTGTTCCATTGTTCATTTCCTCAAGCTCGCTATGCACGTTACGCATTGCTTTCTTCTGTTCACCAGTCTTCAATTTGTCCTGCAAGTAACAATTTTCCCAAGCCCACATTAGCCATAATAAAACTTCTACGTTACTCACATGTTCGGTTCATGTTATTCATACAGCAGCCTTCTGTAGAACCACATTTCTGTTGCTTCAAGGATCTTCATCTGTTACATGATTGTCCATCCACTGAGGTTTGATATTGAATAACGCTTGAGTATTTTTTTTTGTTTCTATCAAATTTCTATTAATACTTTGCTTGTTTTTCGAAGACACCTTTCGCTATCCAAAAGCGTCTTCAGATTTCAGTGCTGAACTTTCCATCCTCTGTTAAAACCCTTCCCAGGTCCTTTAAAATTGTTGTACTTGTTCGATTTTGGTATCTGTCTATATTTCTGAGATGAGGTATTATGTACACTATTTACATTATTCGGACTATTGTTCTCATCTTTGTCGCCATATTTATTACAACGTTTCAGCCGTTCTACGCCCCGGCCTTCTTCAGGTGGTTGGAATATCGAACTGAGCCCTTTATTTCGCTCATTGGGGGAGACTGTTCTAGTTCCACGTTTAATGGATGCCAGTTATCTCCTGTTAATTCTCCTCTCCAAGTTCTTCACTGCCTTAACCGGGTACTGAACCCATACTTTTTGGGCCCTGTCACTGGATCTAACTAACGCCTTTATCCACTCTGCCATGTGTCCTTGAAAACTCTTTATTCACTGTGCCATGTACACTTGATTGATTAATGTATTTGATTTTGGCATCTCCATTTTGTAATTTGCGTATTGGACTGTCCCTTTTGCTAACAACCAGGCTTTATGTCTTCATACAACTGGCGTTTACTCCTTTAAGTGTTCAAATAAACTATTAGTTAGCTTTGAAATGCTTTCAATTTTCTATGGTAAGCGACCAAGAGCAAGAGACGGTGAAACATGCTAGTTCATTAAACACCCGAGTTTGGTGTCAACTGTACGAAGAATTGGATTTGGTTTTTAGCGATAACCGCATTTTTCAGCGGCATGATTTAATTAGATCAGAATCTAAGCTGTGAGCAGAGTTATCTTTTCTGCTACCTTTACAGGTCGTCAACATCGATTCAATAGAGAAGTTTCAGATTGAAATTGACTTTCAATGTCAAAGATTACAAATGTTAATTACTGAATTCATCGTTTATTATAAAAAAGAGAGACGTGAGGTCTTTTAGGATTTCTTTGCATTGCGTGAAATGAATCGAATATGTCGGTCAATAGGCTTTGCTTAGTCTTCGAGTTAACACGTTTACTGCTACACGATGCACATGTGCGTCTTGTTGCACATGACGTTTTGAGTGACGCACAGGTGCGTTCTGGCCACGGTGATTTTAAAAGCAATATAAAGCAAACAAGCTTTCATCGGTGTTAATTTTTAAATCTTTGCAGCTGCTGCTTTGATATAAGAAAACAAAAATCAAAGCCAACACCGAGAATGTACGTTGGCGCCGCACTTTAGATTCCAATAAATTTATTTACTAAAATAAAAAGAATAAAGCGGCATATAATCGGATTATGCCTACCAGGTTCAATTCCGTCAAGAGTCCGATGTATTCACTTTGGGAAAGTTACGAATCCATTTCTTGTCTCAGCTAAGATTTAAGTAGTAGGACAGAGTGTCCTCGCTAGATTTAATTAGCAACCACCTGGGAGAAGGAAAACTTATTTCAAAACCGGTTGCACATAAAAATAGTAATTCTACCCCGTAAAAAGAATATTTGCTACAGAAACCACAGGAAAATCTTTGACGTGGTGTGGGTGAAGGAGAAGGTGAAGAAGAAAGAAAGAAGAAAGAAGAGGAGGAGGAGGAGGAGGAGGAAGAAGAGGAAGAAGAGGAAGAAGATAGAGGGAGGAAGGAAGAAGAGGAAGAGGAAGAAGAGAAGAAGAAGAAGAAGAGGAAGGGAAGAAGAAGAGGAGGAGGAGGAAGAAGAGGAAGAAGAGGAGGAAGAGGAAGAAGAGGAAGAAGAGGAAGAAGAGGAAGAAGAGGAAGAAGAGGAGGAAGAGGAAGAAGAGGAGGAAGAGGAAGAAGATGAGGAAGAGGAAGAAGAGGAGGAGGAGGAGGAAGAAGAGGAGGAGGAGGAAGAGGAGGAGGAGGAGGAGGAAGAGGAGGAGACGGCTTCTATTATAATTTCTAATGAAAATTTAGAAAAAAAACACGTGATTGGAATTTCGGGTAGATTGTTCCACTTCCACATGACATGCCTCTTCCGGATGTCTCAATATCAGTTATCTCCCTTTTAATTCAACTCTTCAAGTTTTTGTCCACCTCTGCTATAGCCAGGTATTGAACACGCGTCTTGACCGAAAAAGCAGCGAGTTCAAAACCTGTCTACAGCAGAGGTGGACAAAAACTTGGAGAGTTGAATTAAAAGGGAGATAACTGATAATGAGACTTCCAGAAGAGGCATGGCACATGGAACTGGATCAATCTACCCCGGTGGACCAAAAAAAAAGTGTGGCCTATAATACCAGATAAGGTTTAAAATTCGGTTGCATTTCAGACCAGTCTGTTAAGTAATCATAAATTATGTATAAAGAAACCGAAAAGCAATTAGTTTTCCGAAAGGTACAGTGTAACCCGGATATAAGAGAAACCCGGATATAAGAGATTTTCTCTGGTCCCAAATTAGAGCCTGTGTTAATATATATATAAATTAGACCAAACCCGGATATAAGAGACTTCTCCGGTGCCGACAACTCTCTTATATCCGGGTTACACTGTATTTACGAACAGACTAGTTTCTACTTGCGTTTTTTTCAGTACGAAGTGTAGCAAGATTATAATCTAAATTTTAATGAAAAGTCTTAAGCTATCGTTTTTCACTTGTCTGCAACACCAACTGTCGAATCCTGGTTTCATCGTGAAATTTATAGTTAAATGTATCTTTCTCTACGATGTGCTTCCCATTCAACTTTCCACGAATTTTAGCATTGATTTTTTTTTCGTGAGATGATTATTAAGAGTACGATATAAATGAAAGAAACTGGAATCTCGACATGGTGTTAAATCATTAATAAATCCCTTCAACATCTGCGAGGAAGATCGTGTGGAGAGGGTACTGTACACAACAGATTTTTGAGAGAGTTTTGGAGAGATGCAGCGAACACGGTGGGAGTGTAGAGAATCCATAGAAATGCTGTGCATACTGAACGGTGGAGGGTGCTAGAGAATCCAGCGGGATGCAGTGCACACCGTGAACGGGGGGGTAGGGGATCCAGAGGGATGCGTTGCACACGTGAAGGGAAGTGGGGGCTAGGGAATCCAGAGGGATGCTGTGAACACTGTGCACGGTGGCGGGGAGGTCAGATAATCCAGAGAGATATGGTACGCACTGTGCACACGGTTGGTAAGGAAGCAGGGAATCTTCCGTACTGTAAATAAATTAAATCCACTGATGATTGATGCCCACTAACCAAAAAAAAAAAAAAAAAAAAAAAAAGGGAACGGGTCTATTTAGGGTACCACCCAATGTACGCCTCAGACCGCCTCGATATTTGAGCTGCAAAACAGACCAAACACCTACACAACCAAACACACTTTGAATCTAAAGTACCATAATATATTTTCCGACTATCACTCCCCGTTATTCGTGATACACACTGTAACAATCACAGCGTCACTTTAAATATAGAGAAACAAAACCGTTTGAAAAAAAAGAGTTTTAACTTGTGATATTAGAATATATGAAATTTTTAACCCGATTTTTATTACCTTTCACCTCCCCCTCCCACACACTTCAACGTTTGTCTATATTGACCAATTTACAGACATCGTTAAAGGCCTTCCAAAAATCTACCACGAAGAAAAAAAATTCCATTTATGATGCAGGCAATTTTTATCCAGTCCTAAAGTTAAAAGCTCGTCTTGTTAGATGTGGAAATTACAAAGTGTAATTATAAAAGATTCGTCAAAATGCACTCAGCCACACGCAAGTAGTAAACGGCTCCAAGGAAAAATGATTTGAAATTAGGCACTAAAAACTGATATCGCTAATGCGTCCTCGTGCTAAATACATTTACTACTTTGCTTGCGAAATTGCGTTCCTGTGCATTAGCCTGCAAAGTTTTCAAAATCTGTGATAATGATTTTTTCTTTTACTTTTTTTTTTTTTAAATACAGTCATAGGACTTAAATTGCTACGCCATTCTGAACAAATTCATTCTTTAACATGAAATATCGTTTTAAATATATGCCAATTGTTATCAAGCTAGTTTTTTTTAAGAATTATATTCCAAAAAAAAAATTTCTTACATCTTTAGCGTTTTATCCCGACTCCAAGATCGTTATTGTACAACCGAAAAAAAGGAAAAATTGAATCAGGAAAAAAAAATCCATCGAAATGATTTTAAACATTCTACGGGGACTGTTTTTCCATGGCAGTATCTTTTTTCTTAGATTACAAAGGTTACTGTCTAGAAAATGCTCCCGATCCGTCAAACGAACAGAGACTGGTCAGGCTAAGATGGGGAAAAAGCAATAGCACCTCCATTAAGTGGCGAGATAGACTGAAATGCATCGCGAAAGGTAATTTTATTAAGAGTAATAGATTTCCTCTCCTTTTATACAACTTCAGGGTCACGTGACCACTGTAACAATAAATGGTTAGTAAAGATAAGTTTTTTTTTTCCTTGTTTCGTAATAATTTCAACAGCACAAGATAAATACACTGCTCCTTTCCTGCCTGAGGGGGAGAGTGAAAAAAAAAAAAGAGAGTGAAAAAAAAAAAAAAAAAAAAAGAAAAAAAAAAAAAAAAATTTAAAAAAAAAAAAAAGTTTGAAAAAAAAAAGTGAAAAAAAAAAGAAGAGTGAAAAAAAAAAAGTGTGAAAAAAAAAAAAAAAAAAAAAAAGATTTCAAAAAAAGGGGAGAGTGAAAGGAGGAGAAGAAAAAAGAATAGTGAAAGGAAGTAAAAGAAATCTGCAATCAGAAAACTACCTAAGGTTTTCAGGTAAACCGACCATAAACTTGCAACCTCCTCACCTGCCACCCAGTAATTTGACGGAAAGACAAAACGTGATTTACATCTAAAATATCTTAGAGAAAAGTCAATATTATTTCTTTTTTGTTTGCTTTGTCACACTGATATATAAAATTAAATGAGACTTTATCGTGATTCGAATGTGCTGCCTGTGAACAAGCAGACTATTAATGCATCTTTCACGCGAACATTTCTCACATAAGCCGAATAAAATTAAAATCATTTTCAATCAGTGATGGCGTTGAAGCGCGAACCTGCTCCAACCACCCACATAGAAAAAAAATATCGTCACCATACTATTTGATAAAAAAAATTAATTTTATGTTAATGTTTGGGATTTTTATTTTTTAATAAATTTAACAATTTGATCCACTGAGAAAATAGGCTGATATATTAAAGTAATTGAGGGAGGGAGAGAGAGAGCGAGCGGGATAGAAATGTGTGTGTGTGTGTGTGTGTGTGTGTGTGTGTGTGAGTGAGTGAGTGAGTGAGTGAGAGAGAGTGAGAGAGAGAGATTAAAGTTTAAAACCAATTTCTGTTTTGAATGTTTTTTTTTTCAACTCATAATTTCATTATTATTACAATGATGGCATAATTATTTCAAATATAAATGTATATCTATAATGCGTCCCACAGTTTTAATGCATGTTTCCTTTTTCTTCAACGACATGGAATACACACAGATGAAATGATTTGCAAATCATAAACAATGTTTGAGTAAAATCTTGCCACGCCAACAATAATTTTCTATTACAGATGTGTGACACAATCTCCTACAGTTTGGAAGATAGACTGCTTGCAAGTGTATGAACACATGATGGAGTGCATTCTGGGAAGAGCATGGAGGATGTAAGACATGGCATCCCCTGCAAGATTCGGCAAACCAGCTCCTTCGAAGAGAACGATACTGCTATGGGTGCACAAACTGTTTATCACAGGATTAATGACAAACCGAGGATAGGACGGTCCTCAAAACAAAGAGACATGTGCAGAGGTGAGGTTATCTGTGCTACGATCAGCAAAGAAGTCACAACGGAAACGGTCTTCCGAGCTAGGAATTCCCCAAACCACAATGTTAACCTACATGGAAAAAGAACCTTCATTTGAAATCGTTTAAGCCATCATTTGTCGAGGAACTAAGCGATAAAGCCATTTTCAAAAGGCGAGTCACATGAGGACGGTTACTTGATTGATTTCCGACAATCCCAAAACGTGGAGAATGTGTTTTTTTTTTTTGTTTTTTTTTCTGAAATAGAAAATTATGTAGGGGTAACAAGACTTTCGAACGACATCGGATTTATACTTATATTTTATAGTAGCACCGAGCGCAGTTCAGCACAGATCAAAACCCGTAAATCCTCTCCCAAATCATCTGTGCGGCTCTCCATTTATTCAGGTTTTTGACCACGCATACAAATTAGCGATAGTTTTAAAATCACTAGAACTACGCATGAGTTTTACCTAAATTGCAAATGGCGGCTCTGATTGGGCAGGCGAGATGTCGTGACTTCTTAGTCAATGGTAGGTTCGAATTCCTATTTCACAATACTGAAGTGTTTAAAGACGGGCACAAAACCATTTATTAGATTCTTTGAAGATAGGCCAAAATTAAATTGAAACAGGATTTCCAGAAATTCTAGTCACGGACGAGTTTACGAAAAAGAGAATTATTTCTGACATTTATATCAGAGTTGTTTGAAAAAGGAGCCGAAATCTGTTCCGTTGATATATCGGCAAGAAGATGAGAGGATATATTTTGGATGCAAACCCTCGATAATCTCATGAATCTTTGTGGCTTTATTGTCTTTCTTAGTGGGGAAAGCATAAAAAGCAATATTTGCCCCCTGATTATCTCTCCACTCCTTGTTTCTGTCACTCATGCATAAAAGACTATTAAATTCATTACTCGATGATTGCCTTTTACTCTTAAGTTTTCCAAACCCACTTATGTAACCCAGCAATTTCCTGTTTCTGATTCTAAGCACAATTGTCCTTTGTTTCTATTTCCTTTAAAACTTCTACGTTGCTCTCATGTTTCATTGATAGTTTTCTAAGCATCCTACTCTAGAATCACATTTATCTGATACCTCAATCTTGTACAAGGAAATAAATTAGGTTTGAATAGTGACGGGTATATTGTGTGGCCGTATTATCCCCCGGATCCATCGAGAATCGGGGTATTGTCAAGAGTCCTGCATATGAAAGTGACAAGCATTTTACATTCAAAAATTAACTTTAATGAATATGAACTGTCTACTAAGCCATTAACTCAATTAGCAAATAACATCTGAGAGCAAACTAGAACGTAATGAGGGAAAGAACACATGGAATAAATATCCACTGTTCATAGCATTTACTTTGAAAAGTCTTCAATACAAAGTAAAGCAATATATTATTCTATTATAAGAGATTATAATAAAAACACGTTGAAATCGCTACACAAAATCGTTCATGATTCAATACTGTGATCTTAGTACTTCAGGTGATGGTAAGGTAATTAAATGATTTTTAAGGAAATTTGAAAATAAAGTGCTACCTCTTTTCCGAAAGTTAAGTGGTGGTGGGCATAAGATCAAAATTAAAAATACACTTGTAGATATGTCTTTATTGACCAGTTAAGTATCAGATCTGCGCTAAATAGAAAAAAAAAAGTAAGCCCAGAGGTGGACGAGTTATTTTTTCATGTCATGATAAACCGGAACATAGACAGGCCATTATTGACGATTGCGGAAATATGTCGCTGACATATGTTTTTAAAATTCTTTTATGTTTACCTTGATGCGACTGCATATGAGCATGAGATGATGGGAATTTCCAATTATTTTTTTAATAAGTGTTTTGTGTATAAGATCTAACCGAAAATCTAAGACGAAAAAGTTTAAAAGTGTTTTAATCGCTCTATCATCCACAGCAAATTTGCATCCAGGTTACAACATTTTGATCATTTTTGGCAGATCTTTTACGATCAAAAGGTGGAATGTTTAATAACAAAACTGGTGGGGGAAAAAGAGTAACTAAATTAAATATGCCTGATTTTATACTGAAACGACATTAAAAAATACACACACACATATATATATGTGTGTGCGCAAATATATAGAAAAAGAGGAAAGAACACGGTAAGTAAATAATCCGAAGTTCTTTACTGTTTTTTAAAAATAAAAATACTACTCAATACAAAATAGAGTCTAGCGAAGGAATCATTTTAAAACAATTATATATATATATATATATATATATATATATATATATATATATATATATTTCTGCAAAATAAGTTTTAAGATATTTCATTTACAACGATACATTGGACCAACATTTCTTATTGTCCAATCATCAATTTTAATTACTCTTATTTATTTCCATAAAATGTTGGCACGAACTGTACAGAATGAACACTTGAAAAGTGTGACTGCATCTTAAAATCGATAGGAAGAAAAATCAATCAAAAACGGAGTTGATACTGAAAATTTAAAATGATACCCAAATATATTTCCCTTTTATATAAAATCTCCAATCGTTATTAAATCTTAAATGGTTTTCTTTTGGGGAAAGAAACTAAGAAATGAAAATATATATATGAGGTTTTTCTTCATGAACAACAATATAATACTAGAATTTGAAAATACCTTTATAGTTTCTATAATTTGCTTCCACTTTGTTGTAAGTGAAATTACCTCTCAACCTGAAGTTAATTAATTTATAATCAATATGCAATGAAGTGGGTCCTAAAGAGAATGTGATAATTACTTTCTTTGCTGCGATAACAAACTGTTTTTGATAAGCGTAAACAAAGTCCAATATTTTGTTTAACAAAAATATGTAAAATGGCAGTAGGTTTCATTACATTCCTGAAAAGAGTTAGCAATCAAAGGAAAATATCTGAATTTTCTTTTATTTGATTATTTTCACCCCAAGCAAGGCGATAATACCACTAATCGATTCGTTTTCTACAGCTTATCAACCGGTTGTAGGGTATTTAAAGTCAGAAATATATTTTTAGATTGTGAGAATTCTTTCAGATAATCTTTTTAATGAAACAAGTTTTACTAGTTAATCCATAGCTGGAGTCGAAGAGGTGGGATCGTACATTTCCAAGGGTATTTCTGCGTCAGTGTACATAACGAACCCAACGGGAATTGGAGCTCCTCCAATTAATAATTCAGAGCCATTATCCATTACACCACCCACACCGAGCTTACAGCACTTGCTATTCCCAAGTGATCACCCATCGAGGTAATGACCAGGCTGGACAGTACTTAACATCGGTGATCATACGGAAACGCTGTTTTAAAGTGATGTAACCGAAAACCAATAATACCTCCAAGACGCAAAGTGTTTCTGGGTTTAAAAAGAACCATTTATTAATCAGTTTAATCATTGTTCATGCCTAGGGATAGCTCATTCCCAACACTTATGACCACTCAGTTACTGTTAGTCCTGTTTCAAATAGTTCCGAATTCGTACTAAATAGCTGAGGGATAGATTTGACAATTAGTATATCACCAAATTAACAAACTAAATGTTTAATCCTCTAGACCAAATATTTTCAAATCGGCGTCAAAGATTCTTAGGGGTTTTTGAGCATCATTTTGGGTCCGTGCAGCTGAGTTTGTCAATCGTGGAGACGTAGATTAAAAAAATCAAAACAGTGAAAAAAATAAAAAAATAAAAAAAAAATTAAAAAAAAATGAATTTCCTGGAATATACAGACATATGCTGACAGGTGTTAAAATTATCTTTTATGTTATTAAAATTTAAGTAGCTTTTAAACCTTTGTGTTTGTCTTTGCATACATGGTGTCCTTTAAGTCCAGACACACAGGAAATGTCATATATATATATATATATATATATATATATATCAAACATTTTTTTCGAAGGAAGAAAGAACTGACTTAGTTTTCTGGGGTATTCTAAAGGAGAAAATGTACCCAATGAAAATCACAAATACAACACACTCGAATGAACGCATAAAGAATGAATGTGCTAAAATTGACGGCAATGTGGAGTTATTGCATCGAGTTCACTTGAATCTTGCAAAGCGCATCAAAATTTGCATCACAATTGATGGAAATCATATTGGAGATGTTATTTGTTAATATTCCAGTTCAATAAAATTTTCTGAAAATTTAATTTCTTGAAAATTTTCATTTTTGCTTTTGAGAACACCTTGTGTGTGTGTGTGTGTGTGTGTGTGTGTGTGTGTGTAATATATTTAATGAGACAATAAAATTAAGGAAAATAGCGATGTTTACTTTCCCAATCCTTGTCCCCCCTACAAAACTATCTTTGAGTGTCTGTTCCAAGAAACTTAAAACACAGTTATTGGTTTTCAGTAATCAATTCTTTCCTCAACGTTTTTTTTCTTCTTTCGCCAAAGACTGCATTTTCTTGTACATTTTGTTTTTTTCTATATTTCAATAGCGCGAGAAAGAGAGCGAGTATATGATTGCCTTTTTTTCATAAACTTAACGATTCTTTTTCGCAAAGTCATGTAGGGTAACCCACGTAGTAAAATAAACCTTTTTGAAATATTCCTAGAAATGGACATGTGTCTGATACAGGCATTAAGAGTTAGGTGGCGACAGTCAAAATAACTTTCTGAAGTCCCGCTTTAAGACTTTCGTCTTTAATCGATAGCTAAGAGCCTTAAACCTAACGTTCTTATTGTCTGGAGGCTACTGCCTGAAGAGTTGGTTGATGAATTTGGTTAGCCTGATAAGTGAGAGTTCAAACCCTACGCCAGGTAATATGGTGTCAGGCGAAGGGAAAAGAAAGCGCGCAAAAACGGCATCACAAAACGAACAAAACGAGATATACCACGATATAGACAGCAGCAG